CATGGCAGAGCACCAGGGATAGCTGTAGAAGCAGTACACTCAGCCTGATGTTGAAGGGTAGCAGGATACCAAATGCTTTTCTATAATTTTTTTCCCCCACACCTTCAAACTGCTATACCACCATAGCATTTTCAAAGGTGTGAAGACATAGCGTTGCATTCAGCGTGCTCACACATAATAGCAGTACACATTTTGTCTGTTAGTATGATACAACACTTCACCTGGTGAGCTGAGATAACAAAGCAGTACCCTCAATGCTGGAATAATATAGCAGTACAACCAGTGTCGGAATTACATCGCAGCGCACTTGGTGTGTTTATACAACATAGCAGTACACTTTATGTGTCAATACAGCATAGCAGCATATCTAGGTTCCTGATGTAATGTAACAATACTAACGAGACCACTGCCGACTATCAACAGCACATGAGTATATTTGGCGTGACTACACCGCAGAATGGCTGATGTCGAAACTAACTTGTTGGATTGGTGTGGAGAATAAGATGCTATTAACCCATTTTAGTGGTTTGTGATGAGGTCGCTCTACTGTAGCTACGACGAAAACCTTCAGTCTAACGCAGATCCGCAAATGACTCAAAAATGAAAAAGACTGATCATCTCCTGCTTTAAGAACTGTTTGCTGCTGATTCAGTTCTACCAGTTTTGCATTCCTTGGAGGATAAAAGACAATGAATTTCATGTGACAGATATGTATCAGAAACTGTAATTAAGTATGTGAATGACACAACGGAGACTAGTGTTTTACGTTTGCATTCCCTACAGCAGGATGTATCGGTCTGGCTAGTGAATATGCGTGTTTGGTATGATATTGAGAGCAAAAATGTACATCTGGTATGTTGCATCAACACAACAATGTAACTGGTATGTTGGTAACTGCACAGCGTTGTGTCTGGAGCACGTCAGTTTACGTGACATGTTGCATTTCATGTCAGCATACTCGACGTGCCAGCCACCGGGCTACAACACCAAGTTCTCACACAGGATGATCGTTGGTACATTGTTGAGAGTATGTGAAGAACATCATGATATATTTTTGCATTCTTTCTAAGCAAACTACGAGAACTTTTTAAAAGTCTTTGGGTGAGGAAAACCTTCAGAGCTTAAATTTTCATAATAACGCGCTGAGTGAGTGTTGTGCAGGGTACTAGTACAAGCATCTAGCAATCTCCGCTCCACGAGTCGGTGCCTCCCACTACCAAAGCGTCCTTGGCGTGGTGTCTTGTAGACTAATTTTAATGTCCTCTTGTGGATTTGAATTTCCCTCGCTCAACCACGACTTAAACTAGCATTCACGAAGCATACAATCGACTAGTGATTGGCAATGCGTAACACAGCGACAACAGTCCAGCTGACACTGACAGTGGTGACCAGCACGACCTTATGGCCATGAACATGAACAACATGAACAAAGACTCGCATTAACAGGGGATCCCTGGGGCTACCTTACGTTTCCTCACGACGCCCAAGGCTCTCGGACAAGTCTTGGCCTCAGGTAAAACGAGGGAGAGGTCTCACTGTGATTTACAGAGGCAGAGATTATGTTGCTGGTGCATAAAACGGGGTCTCACAGTGTGGTGTTTCTTCTTTGCAATCTGGCCATTCGATGCTGACTAACATCCTCTTGCTATTCTCTGTTCATGTTCATTTAAATGACTCCGGATTTTCTTTGTAGTTGGACATCGAACTTCATTGAACTTTTGAAGTACAAAGCATCATTTCAATTTTACATCTCATCTGCATTTTAATTTGATGATCCGTATAGCAAAATGCAATATTTTCTTGAAACAAGTTTTGTGGGCATGACATCAAAATCAAATGTCCAATTTTCTGTTATATACATATACATACATATGCATGTATATACATATATATATGCATACTAATGTACATATGTATGAATGCATATATATGTATGTCTGTGTACATATATATATATAGACACATGAACACATATATTTACATACGCACTACACTGTAACGCATTTGCCACAGCGTGCGTTGTTCATATTTTCGGCTGTTGCTGATCATCCATTAGCGCAGAGCAGCATCGTTGTCCCGCCTCGACAGCTGCCGATGAGATTTCTGAAGCCTCAAGAATCACTGGCCCACAAAAGAGCTTCATGTCATTTTCTGCAAATGGGTTTATTTGAGGGCAAGCTGCAATACCTTGCCCCGCTGTCACGATACAGAAAGTAAGGGAGCTAGAGTAGTCTCTCCTGCGAGACGGGCGGCGTGTTGACCTCAGCAAGTCCATCTCATTACTGTTACTGAGGCGGCGGACCTACTACACGTGGGGAAGAGGTGTAGCAGGTGCCGCCACCTCTGCGAGTCTCCCTTGCTCTCCGCGGGTTAACTTACAAAAGGGCGTAGCTTTAAACTATTACATCTCATTGCAAACTTGAGAATAGAAAACAAATTTGTATATCAAGAATATAACAGTTTGAATATTACATAATTGGTATCACAAGTGGATATTAAC